CAGCCACCTCCTTCCTCTTTCATAACTGCACCGGCTCCCCCGGAGCGCGGGATGTTGCTGAGCCGGGGCTTAGGGAGCAGGGCTCCGGGAATTCCGTGTCGCGGATTCGTGCCGTGCCGTTATACCCGGATCACGGGCGTTAGCGCCCTGCCTCGCCTCTACCGAGAGGAACTCTCCTGCTTGCACACGCAGCACCAGCACGTTCCCGGTTCCCTGTCAGGGCGAGGAGTGCCACAGCAAAACATTTTGGGGGAAATGCTCCATTTCCTGCCACACATTATGCACATCAGCTATTACACATCACTTAAATGTCCCATATGTACCCGCACGCAAACAAACACACCCCAGGTATGCCAGCTTCCCACCCTGCACCCATTAGCATCCTACCAAGCGGCTGCTCACTGTCCCCTTGTCACTTGTCCCTGAGCTACCGCATCCCCACAACAGCCTATCTTCCTCCAGAGGCAACAACTGCTAATTACAGTCATTACTGCCCCGGCAGCTTCACAAGCCGATGCTGTTACACGTGAGAGCACTTGCCTTTGGCTGGCCCCGATGGGAGGCCGCTGCCTGCAGTACTACAGCCCAGATACACATGTTGCATGCAGCAAATAATCCCGACCGAGAACAGCTACAGATCTGCTTCCAGAAAGGAAAGCAGGGGGATCCTGCAGATGGTCCCCTCTGAGATCAAACAACGAAAATCCTCTTGGAGATGAAATGATGCAAATGGGGTCACCTGAGCAGCCGCTCACACCAGCACTTGCACCCTCCTCCCTTACACTGTCCCAGGGGGTGTCCCCCCAAGTCGAGGGTGTCACATTGGGCACCCCAGGAGATGCAGCCCACGGCCAGGTCTGCGAGGACCCGGCTGCTGCTGCAGCCACAAGATGGAGGTGTTGCTTAAACAGGCACTGCCACCAGGGCCACCGAGCCAGGCCACCGCAAGGGGACCTGCTCTTGTGGCTCCGCGTTGCCGTATGTGCTCCGAGCTCTGGGGACGCGTCCCCATTCGGGCTGCTCACGCAGCCCTTCGGCACACCGTGAGGATTTAATAACATATCCCAGGCCCTTCCTTCAGATGGCAATTTTACAGCCAATTAGCACATAACGTGCGCTGATGCCCTTGGGTATTTGTCAAGCGAGAGCGCAGACAAACGTGTGGGGGGAAGCAGGGGAGCCGAGGGAGCTGATTGCGCCTGCAAGAGCGCTCTGCACGCAGGCACGTGTCACTGCCTCCACAAAGGGCACCGGGACGCTGCAGACGGGCGCCCCAAAGGGCCCTTCGGCTGCATTATATCCCGAGCGCCCCGTGTCCCGAAAGGAAGACTCCCCCGTATGCACAAACACTACCCCGCAAGCCTTTTGGTCTCCAAAAACCCACCATATACACACACGCATGCACCCATATACATGTATACACACGCATAAA